TGCGTTTTATAATAAGTATGATTAAACAATCTTCTGAGGGAGATGAGATGAATTTTACCCAACAGCTGAATCAAAGAAATATTGTTTTGAAATAAACAGTAATTTTTTTTTTCTACATTTTAAACACAAATTTGGAGTTGTAGTTTGTCAAAAGTATCCCGGAATGTCCTTACTAATATCTTAGTTCTGCATATTTAAAATTTATCAGTTCAAATTTTAACTAAAATGAAATTAAATTTTTTGATCATATTTCATCACATTTATTTTGCAAATCAAAATTTTTTTTATTTTTCCCACTTCAAAATGGAAAAGTTGTTTTAAAAAGAATCATATTCTGTTGCATTTTTGAATCCTGAATTAATTGTTCTTTAATTAAATTTTCTATTTATAAAAATTTTAAAATTGCACAAAGACCACATTTGTCTTTTTTGTGCAAAATATAAAAATTTTATTCCCTACCAAATCTAATTTCCTGTATCAAAAATAAAATCTAGTTAGAATAGCAAGTGATAATATGCACAAATCACAAACCACTGCATAAAACTTTAAAGGAAAAAGATTTATTACACAATTACAAAAAAGTTACAAATACAAAATTTGTATGAAAATTTCCTTTTGTGTGTTTGATAAGATAAAAGTATTACCATCAAAAAAGCTAACAAAATTAGAGTTTGGGAAAAGACAAGGATTTTGAAAAAGATTAAAAGAGAAAATAATTCAAGAAGGCAGAAAACAAAGGTGCAACCACCTTTCAGAAAATGAAAACATCTACTTTTACTTGTCCTGTGATACTATTTGTTGTTGTAGCAGTAAAAGTGGAAGTAAGTTTTGTTAAAACATAGGAAAGTGTTATGTGCTGAGAGACATTGAAAAGAGAAGGGTTAATACCAAAAACCCATGCAAAGAATTGAGGATTTAATTTGTTTACAAAATGACTTTAATTCTATGTTGACCAGTTTGAACAATGGAAAAGTGAAAATAATAAATGTATAAAATGAAGGCAATGTTGATTGACACACAGCTGCAAATGGAAGCTGTTTTGCAAAAAACATTTTTTCATAAACAACGAATTTGGAGTTGATTCTCTTGGCCAAAAGTGATTCAAGACAGAAGATGGGGAGGGATAAGCCATCCATACTTCTTTGACTGGTTTAGTGAGAGATCATGATATGAAAGATTTCCATTTTTCATTTTTTCAATTATGTCAATAAATATGAATGCATGAAAGCAAATTTGCCATTTTAAGAATTTATGAGTTTGTGAATTAGAAGAATTTTGAGATGGCAAAGAGTTTGTCCCAGCCACTGGCTTCTAAGTCTGACTTCATCATCTAAAGAGTCTTTTTATTATGTCATCCATGATTATTTCTTTATAAAATAGTTGATTAATTATGAGCATTGTTGTCATCAGGTGGGGCCAATTTAATTTGAATTATTTGGATTCCTATATAATTAATAATTTTTTGAAAGGGTGTATCCTACCAATAGTTCACACACACATTCAAATCCCATTGGGTCTTGTAGTTTCTGTTTGTTATATTATACAATAATGTACATTTATAGAAAAATCATTTTTATTTTATTGTTAGTATTTTTCTCTTTATGCAAGTACTACCAAATTGAATGAGATGACTTTTTTCTTAAATATAATTTATAGCAAAGAATTGAGCATCAATCTACCTTGTTGGAAATGTGTGATTCTTGTTTTTGCCAGATGTGTTATATTGATTGGAGTGAGAATGTGGACACAGGTAGCATTCCTGATTTGCATGCATTATCACACTTCACTTCACCCAATAAAAAACTGACATTTAGCAAGTGACAAAGTAAAAATCAGCTCTGTACTGTGATGCTGCATCAGTTGGTGACACAAAAGAGCAAGGATTGGAAGCAACTGAACAACATGAAAAAATATTCAAATAAAAATGTCTCAAAAAAGATGACTTGTTCTTTGGTAGCATGTTATTTTTTCACAAGATGACAGTATCTTCTTGTGAAAACAAAATTTATAAATAACTTTTAATTTTTGCTCAGATTTGTGCTTTACATACAGATCTATATCTTAGGATGTTTTTTATTCATTTCTTGTGACATGTCTCTTCAGGAGATTGACGATCATTACTTTCTGCAACGTCATTGTCACTTTACAATAAAGTTCACAGTCTCTGTTCTGCCATCCATTTACATCCATTCATTTCTTTCAAAAATGTCTCTTCAGGAGATTGACGATCATTAAACTCTGCAAAATTTTGTCTTTTTTTTATCCTTTCCCAAAATCTGTTCTTTCCATCCATTTACAAAGTATTCATTTCTTGTGATAAATGTCTCTCTCAGGAGATTGACCAAAATTACCTCTAATACAACCCTTCTTTGTCCTCCCAGTTTTTGTTCTGATATCTTGAATCCAAATTCAAATGTTCTGTAATCCAGATATCCATTCACCATTTATCTTGACATGTCTTGAATCTTTATTTCCTCCAATTTGATTGCTATTCACTCAT